CCACTTGCCGTGCGGTAGCGGAGAGAACAATCTATGACTTGGGTGACTGGAGTCTTTGACAATTTTTTGGGCCTTCCTCTTACACTGCCTAGTATATAGGTCCTGGGTGGCAGAAAGCTTGACCCCAATGATGTATTGGGCCGTACGCACTACCCTCTGTAGCGCCTTACGGTCAGATGCCGAGCAGTTGCCATACCAGGCAGTGACGCAACCGGTCAGGATGCTCTCGACCCATGCCAAATCTTTTCAGTCTCCTTAGGGGGAAAAGGTGTTGTTGTGCCCTCTTTACGACTGTCTTCGTGTGTTTGGACCATGATAGTTTGTTGGTGATGTGGACACCAAGGCACTTAACTCTCGACCCGCTCCGCTACAGCCCTATCGATGTTAATGGGGCCTGTTCGGCCTAGTCTAGAGTTGTATTTTTTTTCTCTGGTTGCACATGTGACATACTGGTAGAAATTTGGTAAAACGGATGTAAGTTTGCTTGCATTAAAGTCCCCGGCCACTAGGAGTGCCGCTTCTGGATGAACATTTTCTTGTTTGCTTATGGCCTTATACAGCTCGTTGAGTGCGGTCTTTGTGCCAGCATCGATTTGTGGTAGTAAATAGACTGCTACGAATGATATAGATGAGAATTCTCTTGGTAGATAGTGTGGTCTACAGCTTATCATGAGGTGCTCTACCTCAGGTGAGCAATACCTCGAGACCTCCTTAATATTAGACATTGTGCACCAGCTGTTATTGACAACTAGACACACCCCCACCCCTCGTATTACCAGACATAGCTACTCTGTCCTGCCGATGCACGGAAAACCCAGCCAGCACTAGGTTATCCGTGTCGTCGTTCAGTCACGACTCGGTGAAAGATAAGATATATTACAGCTTTTAATGTCCCGTTGGTAGGATAGCGTTGACCGTAGATCATCCAGTTTGTTTTCCAGTGATTGCACGTTGGCCAATAGAACCGATGGTAGTGGCGATTTACTCGCTCGCCTACGAATCCTCTCAAAGCACCCCGACCTTCACCCTCTGTATCTCCGTCTTTTCTTCACGCGAATGACAGGGATTTGGGCCTGGTCTCCGGTAAGTAGTATATCCTTCGCGTCGGGCTCATTAAATAAAAAATCTTTGTCCAGTTCGAGGTGAGTAATCGCTGTTCTGATGTCCACAAGCTCTTTTCGGTCATAAGAGACGGTAGCAGCAACTTTATGTACTAAATAAGTTACAAACAATGCGAATTTAAAAAAAAAAAATAACACAGTTGGTTAGGAGCCCGTAAAACGGCAGCCAGATGTAGGTATTACAAACAGGGTCAGGGAGAGTTTGAAAATGTCAGTAAAGACACCCGCCAGCTGGCATGCTCTGAGTGCGCATCCTGGTAATCCATCTGTCCCCTCGCCCTTGTGAATGTTGACCTGTTTAAAGGTCTTACTCACATCGGCTACAGACAGCGAGATCACACAATCATCCTCAACTTCTGGTGCTCTCATGCATGGTTCAGTGTTGCTTGCCTTGAAGCGAGCAATAGAAGGCATTTTGCACCTCTGGTAGGCTCGCGTCACTGGGCAGCTCGCGGCTGGGTTTCCCTTTGTAATCCATGATAGTTTGCAAGCCCTTCCACATCCGGCATTCGTCAGAGCCGGCGTAATAGGATTCACACTTAGTCCTGTATTGACGCTTTGCCTGTTTGATGGCTCGACAGAGGTCGTACCGGGATTTCTTATAAGCATCTGGATTAGTGTCCAGCTCATTGAAAGCGCCAGCTCTAGCCTTTAGCTCAGTGTGGATGTTGCCTGTAATCCATGGCTTTTGGTTGGGATATGTACGTACGGTCACTGGGGACGATATCATCGATGCACTTATTAATGTAGCAGGTGAATGAGCTGCAGGGTATACTACTATGGGTTCTAACCTGGATGTCCACCCTCCGTCTAGACTAGACCTGACTAGACACAGGCAGACATGAGGAGGGATCTGTGGTGGAAGGAGGGGAGCGGTGCTGATGACAGATAACCAGGCAGCGAGTTGTCCAAGATTCTGATCCAGCGCCTATGTGGCTGTTAAAAACACCCCTGAGTTGAGCTCCTCTCTTTCACTCACACACACACACACACACACACACAGGAAGGGGAGCGGCAACTTTGGAATCCTGTATGTCTGTGTGGCTCCTGTCCTAAGCAGCAGTGCTGTTGTGTTATTGTGCTGCTGCTGTGTGAGCTGCTGGCTGTGTGGAGGGAGGCTTTTGATTAGGCCTGTGTGATGGTAAAGAAACTCTAGGGGCCTTGGTCTACTAGCATTTCATCTCTATTGATTGGAGGAGAGAAGGGGGAGCGGAGCCTCCCTCGAGAGGCCTGATGCTGAACACCAAGGGCTATAGCACTAGGTCATACTAGATGGTTGGTTTAGCTCTGAAGTCAGCCACCGCATGCCTCCTGTCTCCGGTCTGGCCCCTACATCCTCTCCTCCATTCACTGCCTCTGCAGTCTCACACCTGTTGAGAGAAACTTCATCAACTCTACACTCTCTGTTGATCGGTCATCCATTCAAATGTCATATTGACAGCTTTTGGCATATGTTTGGTGCTCTTGTCTTGTCCGCAGTAGATGAGGGAAGTCATTCACAATGTAGGCTACGTATCCAATCACTGCTCCCAGACAGGAATCCCAAATGTCCTTTCAGGCCTAGGCATATGTGTATGTTTGGTGCTGGGTTATATGCTAGGTGTGGTGTGGAATAGACTAGCTAAACATTGGCGTTGTGGGATCATGGCACTACTAGCCACTCTCCTCCTGGCCTGCCTGTCACCCAGTGTAAAGTTAATTAAGGTTATTAAAATGAGCTGTGGTAACCTGTTCAGATCCTCCTCATCCACTCAGGGCTTAGCAGCAGGCTTATCATGACTCTAATGACAGACAGACCGCCTACTGTCAGATCCATGGTGTGAACACAAATTAAATCTGACACGATGATGGCTTATCTGTGTCAAATAGAGCTGTGTGTGTGTATGTGTGTGTGTCTACAATCGCTTCCTTCTGCAGGGAGACGGGGAGAATAAGGATTTGATAACAATAAGCAGTAAGGGTTCATGATAACAGTAATCAGCATTGTGGGTTTGATAATGATAACACAACCCCTCTGTAGTGTTTATAAGAAGATTGGCAGTAAGGGTTCATGATAACAGTAATAAGCATTGTGGGTTTGATAATGATAACACAACCCCTCTGTAGTGTTTATAAGAAGATTGGCAGTAAGGGTTCATGATAACAGTAATCAGCATTGTGGGTTTGATAATGATAACACAAACCCCTCTGTAGTGTTTATAAGAAGGATACAAGGACGCTTGAAATGCTCACTCATCTCCTAATTGACTCTCTGGGTGTTGAGGCCCAGATATGCTTGTGTTGTGAGCTGCACAGTCATCAGAGTTCAGACCTTGATATGCAGGTTGTCATGGTTATTCAAAGTCCTTTCCTGGTGGAGAAATGCTCAGCAGGTGCATGTTGTGTGTTTGTTGGGATGGGGTCTTCAGAGCAGTGATGTTGTGGGAACTTGTGAAAAGTGAGGAACGGTTTGTAGTTTATCCCAAGCAGTCAGCGGGGATTCTGTGGATAGGCGTAAGGAGCTACCGGAGTATATGTGTAAGAATACATTGATGATGATTACAAATTTGATTGTAGCAACACGCAGTCCATTGTTTTCTAACGTTGCTTGATTGCCACGATTGGGTCACCATTGCTTTCTTTGAGTGAGCACCACATGCTCTGTTCTCCACAGTTGACTTTATTTGCACAGCAGATCGAGTTGAGAAACCGGAGGTGTTTAACAGCCTGCAGCTCAGGTCTGTTAACCTCAGCCAATATTGAGTTTATAAAATCCTCCTACCTGGTGTTGGCCTAGATGGATGACTGTCTTTTCCATGAGGAAATTAGGGCTTTTTATGTGACAGATTCATGAGTTAGTAATGGATTATTGGGTTACTTTGAGGGCACTTGGCTGGGAATCTGCAAGTCTCAGTGGTTCGGTTCTGTGTGAGAGGGACAGCCACCGCAATCAAAGACTGCTAGCTAGGATTGGCGTTACAAATCAAAGCTATGCATCTTTGGCTGTTGGAACTAAAGGTGGGATTTGAAATAATGGCCAGTTAAAACTGACTCTGTTCACTGTCAATAAGCATGCTGGGCATCTAATATTTCTGCCTGTATTAGCCCACTTTTTATTTCTCACTCACTCACTCACTCACACACACACACTTTCAATTTGCTTTATTGGCATGACGTAACAATGTACATATTGCCAAGGCGCACTTTGGAAATGATTCATTAGCAATAACAGCATAAAAAAAATACAAATCAAAATGTCACTGACAGGACGATCAGTAACAACAGTCTCTTTCTCGCTCTCTCCCCCTCTATTTCTCTCTCTCTCCCTCTCACCCTTTTTGTCTATCATTTTCACTCCATTAATGTTTGTGTCCATATCCTGTGATGAAAATTATGACTCCAATCTTTACCCACATAATCTATAATTTTGTAAGAGGCTGAGTCTGGACAAATTAACAGTTGATGATGGTGGGTTCCAGGTTGGTCTCTCACTGCTATAATTCCCTGCTTCTCTCCCAGGCGTCTCAGTGGGAGCTGCTGCTGTGGAGCAGGGGACTGATGAGGTGTCTGTCAACAAGGACCTGAGCCAGTTACATCCAGGTTAGGTTCATAGCCAGTTTTGCTAATCCATTAATGTATCAAGAATATTCGTTGTACTTTTACTCAGCCTATAGTTCTTTCTTTACTTCTACGTTAATGCCCTCACAACATAAAAGCGGTCGTTTTTTAATAGGCCTTTCACCATCTAAGGACATTTCTCTTGCTTGAAAATATTGGTGTGAAGGAAGTCCAAATGGTGCAGCCTTTGTAGTTTATCATCTGTTGGTTTTCATGATGATATTTTACTGACGGGTCATGTGTTGATGTGATGTCTATTTATCTCTGTTCATTTCGGTAGAAATGCAACCAGCAGGGGAGACCCAGGTTCCTTCAACAGAGAGTCCTGAGTCTCCCAGGCTGACCAAGCAGGATCCTGAGAAACAACCCCTGCCAGCCAAGGTGTCAAGAGAGCCAGAGCAGCCACAGGATATAACAACAGGACTGACCAAGCCAGTAAAGACAAAACCCTCCTCTGAAAATAGGGCGGTCAAACCCAGCACAGAGGACATCATGACCCCACCCACCACCACCAAAGAACCAAGTACTGTGTCCGTAATCATCAAGGAAGAACCCATGGAGGTGTCAGCTTCTGATAATTCAGGAGTAGAACAAGTGGAAGGTCCTTCTAGTCTGGAGACAGCAGTGAAGGCTAGGAGGGAGAGGAAAGGGAAATGTATGTCTGGGGTACTGGCTGGTGGGGTTTTGGCAGGGGCCTGCGCCTTGGAAGAGATGGACACCACCCCCGAGACTGAGAGCAAGCCTAACCTCTCCCACCTCAGTCCCCCCATCGAAGAAAAGCCCTACAAGACATCTATGGAAAGACTGGCAGAGATGGCTGCCTCCCCTACCCACTCCTCCCCTAGGACCATGGGGCCCTCTCCCAGGGAGCCTCCCCACCACACCCACCCTACCTTGGGGGAACACAGCAGCAGCGTCCCCTCCACCACACTCATACCTCTCACCCCTAAGATCGGCATGGGCAAGCCAGCCATCTCCAAGAGGAAGTTCTCCCCAGGCAGACCCAGGGTGAAGCAGGTAATGCATGGTGCTGGTGGGTGCTGTGGGTCTTGTCTTAGATCCAAGCCACCTTGATGTGTTATTCTTAGTTGTATACCAGGGCTACAAAATCTATTTTAGAATCAATTTTTTGCGTAATAATTTATGTATTATCTAGGCTGATGTCTTTTATTTTCAAAGAGCATCTAAAAAATCCCAGGTTGAAATCTCTGGAGAGAAACCATAATTGTGTGATCGTCTAGGTTGGTCATTGTGTGGTTGAGTGTATCTAATGATGAGAGGAGGAGGAGCTTTCTGAGTGCTCTGCCCCAGAGCGGTGGATTGGCTATGATGTCAGTGGTTTGGAATATGATTAAAACGGGTGTTGCTGCTGCAGAGGACACTTAACCCAGAGAACTTGCCAGTGGTGGCAGTTGAGAACCGTTGTGTCCTGTGTGTTTGATGTAGGTTAAAGGCCTTACTGTATCGTCAGCAGAGACCACGGCTGATCTCACCCTTCCTCCTCAGTTTTCACTTGGGCTGAATCCCAAATAGCCCCTTGGCCCTCCATTTGCGCGTTCACGCACACCTCCACCATATGCACAAGTGTCCCAAAGTTGAGGGAGTCAAAACTATCGAGGGTGCAGGGGCTAATTAGACCCTCCGATAGCCACTTTGACCAAGCCAGCAACGCTACAGCCTCCAGAGTGAAGTGCTATCCCAACACGCACCGCAAGATGTTTGGAGTTTGCACAGCATCATACAAAAGAATTGCGAGGCATGACTAATCATATGACACGTGTTTGTTTGTTTGTCTGATTTTCGAGACTTGACAAATAAAACGAATGAAATAGGCTACCTCACAAATGAAGTGGTTACTTTTACTGAGGTTTATATCTTGTAAAACCATAGGGGCAATTTGTTAATTAGAATGTCATGCTCGTTTTATTATTTAAATGTGGCACATGAATTGCATCATTCAAGTCACCAGTGTGTGCCGAAGTTAATGGATTTATTGATCCCCTCGCCACTTTATATATGTCATCCTCCGAGTTTCGTCAGCAACATGTGACAACGGAGGGCCCTCCGAACAAGTTGGTAGGGGTGAGGGGCTGGTTTGGGATTCACTGATGGTCTGTCTAAGTCTGAAGAATAGTTAGTTTCCCACAATGTGCAGAATGAGAATAGAATATTTGTACAGCCTATTCCTTAGGCCGTACAGTATAGCTTCAAGCATGCTGTTTCACCTGTCATAGACTAGCATCCAATTTCCATGGTGATCCTAGTACATGCTTTATGTGCTGAAGGCAGTCCCTCTCTGATGATGGATACAAGCCTGTTCTCATTCTCCTTAGAATACCTTCATTAGGGCTTTGTTAACCACCCCCCACTTTCATCAAGCCACTAATCAGAGACACAGTATGCGGGTTGGGTCAAATCCTAATAATACTGGGATATTAATCACACCCATGGCTATGATATATTATGGATGAGGCTGAGCAGAGTTTAGCCTTGCAACGTTGTGTTTTTCTCTCCAGATATATCCTATTGCTGAAATAAACGGTGTGTGTAGACAGACTAATTTGTTAGATCAGGCCTGGGGGAGATCAAGTGTAGGCTATTTGAATACAGTGAAATCATGTGTAGTCAGATTTGGTGTCTTCAAGTCATATGCTTCTGTCTCGAAGAGGCATGCACTGTCAGTCGTGCTGTCTGACGCAACCAGGTGTTGTTTTGTCAACAAGCCAGTTATACGAGTGAGGCAGTGACATGCAGTTGCCATGGCAAGAGGATGTTGAGGTCTCTTGCTCCTCCTCGTCCTGCTGCTGTTGCATGGTGCTGTTGCCTTGACGAATGCTGCTGTGCTGTGTGAACTCAAGGTTGCTGCGCCGACTAACAGGATTCTGCTTCACCTTTGCAAACGCTCTCTGAACGTCTAGCATGAAACATGCCTCAACTCATATGCATGAAAGAAATCTAGGATTGGCTTCAATATAAAAAGTATAATGTGCATCATAATATCATCTTGGCTTTATGCCCCAAGTCAGAATGTATAACAGCATCATTATTAACTCCATATATCTTACTTGGGGTGTGTTGAATGGTCCCAACAAGCTTATTTAGCCACTAGCCTTTTAAACTCACTGCATCTCTCTAACATCTCTGTTATGTTTTCATCTTTCGCTAGCTTTGTTTTTAAGTTGCTGCATTTTGTCACCCTCCTTCTCCCCTCTATCCTCCCCTCTCTCACCCACCCAACCCGGCCCCCCTACCTGTACCTTAGGGCGCATGGCATGGGAGCCCCCATAGCAGTGTGAGCTCCCCCTCCTGGTCTCCAGACCAGCCAGAGGGGTGGAACGTCCCAAACACCAGGCAGCTCTCCCCCGGCTGCGGCAGCCCTGGCTGGAGCATCAGAGTGGTAAATAACCATGGCTCTCTCTGGAGACCAGACGTCCAGAACCACCACAGGGCCATGCCACAGCAGCCTTCTGCTTACCTTAGGCTATGTGAAGTGCACTGGCAGAGTGATTCTTGATGTCACTGTGTTAATGGTGAACTTTAATAATGAATCATTCAACTATCACTGTGTCACCAGAGGAGAGGAGACTGGTGAATTCACATTGAGAGGCTAATAGGGGAATGGTGGATGAGAACCTATAGTAGCCTAATACAACTCCTCCTTAATGGCAAAATACCTAACTTTTATCCACCAGAGAGGATCCCTTGTTAGGCTTTGCACATGTACTTGTAATATTAACTCCATTCATGATACTATATCTTGGCCTACCTTTGCAGCCTGAGGCACACGGTTTTAATCTGTGTTTGTCTGTTTGTTTAGTTGTTTGTTTTGTGTCATACTGTTGTGGGTGAGTTTGGGGCGGGGTGGAGATGTGGGTTTTATTAAGTGGGCTGTGTAGGCACTTAGGCCTGCCCAAGTGGATGCCTCAATCTGTTGCCATGGTAACATTAGTGTTACACGCTTTGGCGCTAAGTTAGGTGGTAATTGCTGGGTCTTGGCATGGGTCCTGGGCAGGTTAAACGGCACCATACTGTGCGTCAATCAGGATGTCAGACGGCTGGCTGCAGTTTTACGGGCTCCTAACCAATTGTGCTATTGTGTGTATTTTAGCATTATTTGTAACTTATTTTGTACATAATGTTTCTGCCACTGTCTCTTATGACCGAAAAGAGCTTCTGGATATCAGGACAGCGATTACTCACCTCGTACTGGACAAAGATTTTTTCTTTAAGGAGTTGGACGCAAAGGATTTTCTTAAGACACCCGTCAAGGCCCAAATCCCCGTCATTCGCATGAGAAAGAGACGGAGATATCGGGGATGTAGGTCGGAGTGCCTTGTAAGGATCTGACGGCGAGTGTACGTAATCTGCCTCTACTATCAGTCCTATTAGCCAATGTACAATCATTGGATAACAAAATGGACAAACTAAGATCACGGATATCCTACCAACGGGACATTAAAAACTAATGTCTTATGTTTCACCGAGTTGTGACTGAAAGACGACATGGATAACATACAGCTGGCGGGATATAGGCTGCATGTGTATATTTGTAAATAACAGCTGGTGCACGAAATCTAATATTAAGGAAGTCTCAAGGTTTTGCTCGCCTGAGGTAGAGTATCTTATGATAAGCTGTAGACCACATTATTTACCAAGAGAGTTTTCATCTATATTTTTCATAGCTGTCTATTTACCACCACAAACCGATGCTGGCACTAAGACCACACTCAAAGAGCTGTGTAAGGCCATAAGCAAACAGGAAAACGCTCATCCAGAGGCGGCGCTCCTAGTGGCCAGGGACTTTAATGCAGGGAAACTTAAATCAGTTTGACCTAATTTCTACCAGCATGTTAGAAAACACTATGGGCCAGTTTCCTGGACACAGATTAAGAACCTCTGAAACAGCAATAGGCCTTCAACTGACTGCAGACGGATAGGTGGTGGAGTAGAGTTGTGGAGCTAAATTCCCCAAATTGAAAAATCCACCATTTCAGTTAGGCTAATCTCTTGAAGTTGACTGGAGTTGAAATGGGATTGACCCTGGGTGCTGTAGCTTGGGGGCAGGGTGGTCTGTTAGTCCATTCTGCAGACTGCGCTGCCCCTTGGCTATCTCCTTATCACCTCTTTCTGTCTCTCGTTCTCTGGCTCGCTCTCTTTGTCTCTGTCTCCCTCTCTCTCGGTCTCTCTCGATCGTCGCTCTTTCTCTCGCTCTGTCGCTCTTTCTCTCGCTCTGTCGCTCTCTCTCGCTCTGTCTCGCTCGCTCTGTCTCGCTCGCTCTGTCTCGCTCGCTCTGTCTCACTCTCTCTCTCTCGCTCGCTCTGTGTGCAATGTGCAACCAGAGGGGAAAAAACTCTAGACCACCTTTCCTCCACACACAGAGACGGGTACAAAGCTCTCCCTCGCCCTCCATTTGGCAAATCTGACCATAACTCTATCCTTCTGATTCCTGCTTACAAGCAAAAACTAAAGCAGGAAGCACCATTGACGGTCAATAAAAAAGTGGTCAGATGACGCAGATGCTAAGCTACAGGACTGTTTTGCTAGCACAGACTGGAATATGTTCCGGGATTCTTACGATGGCATTGAGGAGTACACCACATCAGTCACTGGCTTCATCAATAAGTGCATCGATGATGTCGTCCCCACAGTGACCGTACGTACATACCCCAACCAGGAGCCATGGATTACAGGCAACATCAGCACTGAGCTAAAGGGTAGAGCTGCCGCTTTCAAGGAGCGGGACTCTAACCCGGACGCTTATAAGAAATCCCTGCTATGCCCTCCGACGAACCGCCAAACAGGCAAAGCGTCAATACAGGACTAAGATTGAATAATACTACACTGTCTCCGACACTCGTCGGATGTGGCAGGGCTTGCAAACTATTACAGACTACAAAGGGAAGCACAGCCGCGAGCTGCCCGGTGACACGAGCCTACCAGAAGAGCTAAATTACTTCTATGCTCACTTTGAGGCAAGCAACACTGAAGCATGCATGAGAGCATCAGCTGTTCCGGATGACTGTGTGATCACGCTCTCCGTAAACGATGTGAGTAAGACCTTTAAACAGGTCAACATTCACAAGGCTGCAGGGCCAGACGGATTACCAGGACGTGTACTCCGAGCATGCGCTGACCAACTGGCAAGTGTCTTCACTGACATTTTCATCCTGCCCCTGACTGAGTCTGTAATACCAATGTTTCAAGCAGACCACCATAGTCCCTGTGCCCAAGAAAGTGAAGGTAACATGCCTAAATGACTACAGACCCGTAGCACTCATGTCTGTAGCCATGAAGTGCTTTGAAAGGCTGGTCATGGCTCACATCAACACCATCATCCCAGAAACTCTAGACCCACTTCAATTTGCATACCGCCCCAACAGATCCACAGATGATGCAATCTATATTGCACTCCACACTGCCCTTTCCCACTTGGACAAAAGCAACAACTACGTGAGAATTCTAATTATTGACTACAGCTCAGTGTTCAACACAATAGTGCCCTCAAAGCTCATCACTAAGCTAAGGACCCTGGGACTAAACACCTCCCTCTGCAACTGGATCCTGGACTTCCTGACGGGCCATTCCCCAGGTGGTAAGGGTAGGTAACAACACATCTGCCACGCTGATCCTCAACACGGGGCCCCTCAGGGGTGCGTGCTCAGTCCCCTCCTGTACTCCCTGTTCACCCATGGCTGCATGGCCAGGCACGACTCCAACACCATCATTAAGTTTGCCGACGACACAACAGTGGTAGGCCTGATCACCGACAACGTTGAGGCAGCCTATAGGGAGGAGGTCAGAGACCTGGCCGTGTGGTGCCAGGATAACAACCTCTCCCTCAACGTGACCAAGACAAAGGAGATGATTGTGGACTACAGGAAAAAGAAGAGGACCAAGCACGCCCCCATTCTCACCGACGGGGCTGTAGTGGAGCAGGTTGAGAGCTTCAAGGTCCTTGGTGTCCACATCACCAACAAACTATCATTGTCCAAACACACCAAGACAGTCGTGAAGAGGGCATGACAAAGCCTATTCCCCCTCAGGAGACTGAAAAGATTTGGCATGGGTCTTTAGATCTTCAAAAAGTTATACAGCTGCACCATCGAGAGCATCCTGACTGGTTGCATCACTGCCTGGTATGGCAACTGCTCTACAGAGAGTAGTGCGTACGGCCCAGTACATCACTGGGGCAAAACTTCCTGCCACCCAGGACCTCTATACCAGGTGGTGTCAGAGGAAAGCCCTAAAAATTGTCAAAGACTCCATCCTAGTCGTAGAATGTTCTCTCTGCTACCACACGGCAAGCGGTACCGGAGCGCCAAGTCTAGGTCCAAAAGGCTTCTTAAAAGCTTCTACCTCCAAGTCATAAGACTCCTGAATAGCTAATCAAATGGCTACCCAGACTATTTGCATTGTCCCCCCCCCCCCCAGCCCCTCTTTTACACTGCTGCTACTCTCTGTTTTTTATCTATGCATAGTCACTTTAACTCTACCTACATGTACATATTACGTCAATTACCTCGACTAACCTGTACCCCCGCACATTGACTCTGTACCTGTACCCCTTGTATATAGCCTTGCTACTGTTATTTTACTGCTACTCTTTAATAATTTTTTACTCATCTATTTTTTACTGAACACTTATTTTTCTTTAAAACTGCATTGTTGGTTAAGGGATTGTAAGTAAGCAGTTCACTGTAAGGTCTACACCTGTTGTATTCGACGCATGTGACAAATAACATTTTATTTTATTTGACTGGGCTGGGGCGAAGTGGGGGATCAGGGAGGAGGGATTTGGGTGGAAATTCACAGAAAGTAGACCCTAGTTTGACAGTCTTGATTAGGCCCCAGCAGCCACCATCACCGGAAATGTGTTGACATTATAATAGAGCTCAAATGGCCAGAATAACATTAGAGAGGCTCTCTGTTAACAGCCTGGACAGAGAGCCTAGACACTTGCTGTGTTAGAAAACATTTAGTTTATTTTTGGTTTTTTAAACAACTAATTGTTCAATAATTTTTAATTCCATTTATTTATATAATTTTTGTGAGCTCAATGCGCACACTGCACAGTTTCTCTAAAGCTAAATGAGATCCAGCTTGAACTGTGCGATGTAGTAGGGAGTTGTAGTTTCCAATAGGCCAATATTCTACATAGTTTAGCGCAGAAAATGTGGTAATTAACTACAATGACCATAATCCATTGCACGTCTGCTTGTCCGGTCTGTTTCTTTTACGCCTGCTACAGAAGAATGCGCGATCGTGAGGTTATATAGAGAACAGCTGTTGCTTCGCAAGGTATCTCTACCTGAAAATACATGATCTAATGATTGATAGTTGGTATTCAGCAGTCATAAAAGTATGCCTTATTTACTTTGAAGAACTACTAAAATAGTGATTTAGTCAGACAGCATAGGTAGCTTGCTCTATAGAGATGAGATGATGACTTGGAATGAAATAATAGTCATCAAATAAAACAAATGTAATATACACAACGGAAATATTTTATCAAAGTAATGTGAATAAATGATGGCTAATAAGTGATAATCAGTAATGAGCAGTCACTTCCATCATGGGACTTTTTAATTGTTTTATTCTGTGTTACAGCATTCAACTCACATAATGCATAGTGCATTTAATGTTTTTAAAAAAGTATCAAAAACGTGATTTTAAAAAAATAACAAATCTACCGAAACGGAACCGACCTGAAAAAGCACAAATGGCTCAGCACTAGTCTCTCAGAATGGGGCAGGAGAGATGGTCCTATTACTGATAAAGATGAACAAGTCAAGGTGTCTTATTTGGTGAAATGGGTTTTGTGTTGTCACTGCTGGACTGCCTATGTACAAAGCAGGATCAATGACTTAGCCAGCTAAATATTCTGTAGTAACTTTTTTTTAAAAGATAAGCTTAACATGGGCATGTTCTAATTGACTCAACAAACAATAACATATATGTACAGAACAAAAAATATAAACGCAACATCAAAAATGTCAACTATTTTACTGCGTTACAGTTCATATAAGGAAATCAGCTGAAATAAATTCATTAGGCCCTTATCTATGGATTTCACATGACTGGGCAGGGGTGCAGCCATGGGTGGGCCTGGGAGAGTTTTAACAGCTGTCCGGGTGGCTGGTCTCAGACGATCATGCAGGTGAAGAAGCCAGATGTGGAGGACTGGCGTGGTTACACATGGTCTGCGGTTGTGAGGCCGGTTGAACATACTGCCAAATTCTCTAAAACGATGTTGGAGGCAGCTTATGGTAGAGAAATTATCATTCACTTCTCTGGCAACAGTTCTGGTGGACATTCCTGCAGTCAGCATGCCAATTGCACGCACCCTCAAAACTTGAGACATCTGTGGCTTTTTGTTGTCTGACAAAACTGCACATTATAGTGGCCTTTTATTGTCCCCAGCACAAGGTTCACCTGTGTAATGATCATGCTGTTTAATCAGCTTCTTTATATGCCACACCTGTCAGGTGGATGGATTATCTTGGCAAAGTAGAAATGCGCACTAACAGTGGTATAAACAAATTTGTGCACAACATTTGAGATAAATAATATTTTTGTGTGTATGGAAAATCTCTGGGATTTTTTATTTCCGCTAATGAAACATGGGACCAACACTTTACATGCTGCATTTATATTTTTGTTCAGTATAGAAGTTTAGCTTTCTTAATTAACCTGAATCAGTAGTTTTATTATTTTGGGTTTTTTATCAAAGTTAGCTGGCTAACTCATTGATCCTGCTTTGTAGTATGCCCCCGTAGCTGAATAAAGAAAATTAAAACAAATTGCATTCGCAATTTTGTTCTCTTAAATCAGAAATGGCTGCTTTTTTTTCCCCTGCATCAATTTGTTTTGTAGCTTGAATTAAGCACTATTCTAAGATTTGTTAAATATGGATATGAAGCCATTTCATATCCGTGCGTAGGCTTTGCAATGTTCTACCTACCATACACAAAATGTATGCACGCATGACTGTAAGTCGCTTTGGATAAAAGCGTCTGCTAAATGGCATATTATTATTATTATTATTATTATTATTATTATTATTATTATTATCCAAGAAAACAACACTGGATGGGAAATGACATTACCTCTGTGGAAGTAGACCAAGCTGCTGTTCCTGTTTTTACCTCTCTAGATACCAGCAGCCTCACAGCTCAACAGATCTACAGTGGGAGAAGAGTTCCCCTATGGCAAACTTTTTCATTAAGCTGACTTCATCGATCACAGTCTAGCAAGCGAGGACCTGTGTGTGTGTTTCTCTGTATGTGACTGTGAACACGACTCCTGCGAGTGTTTTTGTTTTTGTGTGTGAATGTGTATTTTTCTGTGTGTGTTGAGGAGTCCTGAGGTGTGTGTTTCTGTCTGCAGGGTCGAGGGTCAGGCTTCTCTGGGAGGAGGAGACCCAGAGGGGCTGGTCTGTCGGGCAGAGGGGGTCGGGGCCGAGCGAGGGGGAAGAATGGAGCCAATTCTACAGTCAACCCTGGGGTAGGCTATGTCACCTGTCAACCTGATCTCTTTTTAGTTCACACTAATCCAATACAATTAACTGAAAGACAGTTTTATTACTAGTGATGGGAGGAAAAATGTATAGTTACGTATCGCAATATTATTTTGGATGATATGATATTGATACTTTGGCTCCAAATATCGATTTGCTAGGTAGCGTTAGCTAGCGCTAGTCGGCTGTATCTGCGCTAGAACTTCTGAATTTTTCATCCTATAGCTTGTTTGCCATCTTTTTTTAAAATAGTGAGCCAACGTGTTTTCAGTACTTATTTTCATGACTGGTCAAAACAAATGTTCTAATGCCCTCTTGTCTCTCTGCTGCAGACATATACTAAGCAATATGTTTTGAACATCAAATTGCAATAAAATCACAGTATCGAATCACAATACATATGGAATCGTGAGAATCGCAATACATATCGTATCGGCAACTAAGTATCGTGATAATATCGTCCATGGCATTACCCAGCCTTATTTATTACCCATAAACCTCATAGTTTTCCTGGTGTGTAGTGTAAACAGTAATCATATGTTGTGTATAGATTATTTGCTGCAGCACAAAAACCGACTCATCCCAGTGGGCATGTTACTCCATACCAAAGGGTGACACAGCATTCGTGTCAGAGGCAAATACTAATCAATGATCCTATCCAGGCAGTCTCTTGTAATGCTGACAACTTCACATGCTGTAAAAGAATCTGTTAGAATTTACACCATAAACAGAGATGCATACCCCTGTAATATTGCTTTTAGTGACAGAGGAACGCTTCACTTTCATGTAGGTAATATCACAGGACTCAATCCTATCCATCTAACGGTGTATTTGTGCTCATGCTTCATAACATACAGGTCACCACCATGGAATCACCATACCAGGTGAAGGAGGAAGAGGAGAATGCCATGCATAACACCGTGGTCATATTCTCCAGCAACGACAGCTTCACATTGAAACAGGTGTGCATATGTTTGTATACAATTCATACATTTCCTGTACCTCTATTATTCGATTAGTTTCTCTTACCGTATTACAGTAAAAGTTTGATTCTCTAGTATAATGTGGTAAACTCCATTTGTTTCCCTCTCTCAGGACATGTGTGTAGTGTGTGGGAGTTTTGGGCTGGGTGCAGAGGGTCGTCTTCTGGCCTGCGCCCAGTGTGGGCAGTGCTACCACCCCTTCTGTGTTGGCATCAAGGTAAGTACCCCAACCATTACAGTGGCATTTTCTGAGATCTTACTGAAGATTCGGATACTACATAAGAGTAGGAAACATGGGAACCCCACAAATGATTGGGCTTAGGGTTAACTCAAAGTATTTGAATTGTGTAGCCTAAATTTTAACCTGGCTATGACTGACTCAGTATGTGAGTGTCAACTGGATTAAACGGGCCATATAAACTCTGTAATCAGATGAAGCTCAGCTCAAGTTGATTCGATCCTTATCTCGTAATGCTGCCAATTACTGCAAACAGAAGTCTTTAGTGTAGCTCAGCGGGACAGTGATATATCAATGTCCTTTACTATGGGGCCTTTTTAAAGAGATAAGCACACACAATTTGGACTTTTGCCAATATACTCCCACACCATATCTGACCCTGTCATCTCTTCCCAGATCACCAAGGTGGTGTTGAATAAAGGCTGGCGCTGTCTGGAGTGTACGGTGTGTGAGGCGTGCGGCCAGGCCACCGACCCGGGCCGTCTGCTGCTGTGTGATGACTGTGACATCAGCTACCACACCTACTGCCTGGACCCTCCGCTGCAGAACGTGCCCAAGGACAGCTGGAAGTGCAAATGGTGGGTTGCTGCCTCATCTGTCCATCCCCTCAACCACTTCCTATTATGATAACATGGATGCGGCCCAAATGGAACCCTATTCCCTATATAGTATAACGTCAATATTTGTTATATGTAAGCAAGAAGTCAAAGTACCATCAACAAAACTTGATTATTTGCGATCTCACACAAAAAAGCCTTTCCCTTTTCTCCATGAATGACCTAGTTCATTATTTCTCAATGTACTGTACTTAATGTACAACCACCTGAATGTACGCAGTTCTTCATTGACACCTGTCCTCACTCCTCCTCCCTCCCCTGTTCCCTCCTGCAGGTGTGTGTCCTGTACCCAGTGTGGTGCCACCTCACCAGGCCTGAGGTGTGAGTGGCAGAATAATTACACCCAGTGCGCCCCCTGTGCCAGCCTGGCGACGTGCCCCTTCTGTCTCCAGGACTACAGCGAGGGCGAGATTGTGGTGCAGTGCCGCCAATGCGACAGGTGGGCCACCTGTTTCTAATGAGCCAATTGTCTCTGCATGTCTACAGTACTAGCTAAGCCTGCCATAGCCTATATCTGTGCTGTTATTTTGAATCAAACCCCCTGTATGGTACCCCGAACCCCAACCCCTTCTCCTTCCTCTCCCATAGGTGGATACATAGTTCCTGCCAGGGTCTCCATTCAGAGAAGGATGTGGAGAAAGCAGCAGACAGCAGCTTTGACTGCACCATGTGCCGAGTCCACAAAACCTCCAAGGGTAAAGTACTACAGTCGTGGTCAAAAGTTTTGAGAATGATACAAGTATTGGTCTTCACAAAATTCGCTGCTTCAGTGTTATGAGATATTTTTGTCAGATGTTACTATGGTATACTGAAGTATAATTACAAGCATTCCATAAGTGTCAAAGGCTTTTATTGACAATTACATTAAGTTTATGCAAAGAGTCAATATTTGCAGTGTTGACCCTTCTTTTTCAAGACCTCTGCAATCCGCCCTGGCATGCTGTCAATTAACTTCTGGGCCACATCCTGACTGATGGCAGCCCATTCTTGCATAATCAATGCTTGGAGTTTGTCAGAATTTGTGGGTTTTTGTTTGTCCACCCGCCTCTTGAGGATTGACCACAAGTTCTCAATGGGATTAAGGTCTGGGGAGTTTCCTGGCCATGGGCCCAAAGTTTTGAAGTTTTGTTCCCCGAGCCACTTGGTTATCACTTTTGCCTTATGGCAAGGTGCTCCATCATGCTGGAAAAGGCATTGTTCGTCACCAAACTGTTCTTGGATGGTTAGGAGAAGTTGCTCTCGGAGGATGTGTTGGTACCATTCTTTATTCATGGCTGTGTTCTTAGGCAAAATTGTGAGTGAGCCCACTCCCTTGGCTGAGAAGCAACCCCACACATGAATGGTCTCAGGATTCTTTACTGTTGGCATGACACAGGACTGATGGTAGCGCTCACCTTGTCTTCTCCGGACAAGCTTTTTTCCTGATGCCACAAACAATCGGAAAGGGGATTCATCAGAGAAAATGACTTTACCCCAGTCCTCAGCAGTCCAATCCCTGTACCTTTTGCAGAATATCAGTCTGTCCCTGATGTTTTTCCTGGAGAGAAGTGGCTTCCTGGCTGCCCTTCTTGACACCAGGCCATCCTCCAAAAGTCTTCGCCTCACTGTGCGTGCAGATGCACTCACACCTGCCTGCTGCCATTCCTGAGCAAACTCTGCACTGGTGGTGCCCCGATCCCGCAGCTGAATCAACTTTAGGAGACGGTCCTGGCGCTTGCTGGACTTTCTTGGGCGCCCTGACGCCTTCTTCACAACAATTGAACCTCTCTCCTTGAAGTTCTTGATGATCTGATAAACGGTTGATTTAGGTGCAATCTTACTAGCAGCAATATCCTTGACTGTGAAGGCCTTTTGTGCAAAGCAATGATGACGGCACGTGTTTCCTTGCAGGTAACCATAGTTAACAGAGGAAGAACAATGATTTCAAGCACCACCCTCCTTTTAAAGTTTCCAGTCTGTTATTCTAACTCAATCAGCATGACAGAGTGATCTCCAGCCTTGTCCTCGTCAACACTCTCACCTGTGTTAATGAGAGAATCACTGACATGATGGCAGCTGGTCCTTTTGTGGCAGGGCTGAAATGCAGTGGAAATGTTTTTGGGGGATTAAGTTCATTTTCATGGCAAAGAGGGACTTTGCAATTAATTGCAATTCATCTGATCACTCTTCATGACATTCTGGAGTATATGCAAATTGCCATCATCAAAACTGAGGCAGCAGACTTTGTGAAAATTTGTATTTGTGTCATTCTCAAAACGTTTGACCACAACTGTACATACAGTGTAGCCTTCTGAAACATTGCTACTGTATCTGACCGTCTCAGGCGTCTCTTGTATTGCAGCCAATTACTGACTGGCTTTTGTGTCCCTCTTCACTGCATCCACAGCGCTAGTGTCCAAGGCCAGAGAGTCCATTGAGCCGGCAGTTATGACGCAGATTCTCACAAAGGCTAAAGAAATGGGTAAGAACGAGACCGCTTTTGGTATTTTATTTGTATTATAAAAAATAAAAAATAAATGTTAGTGGGTGTATCAGCTTTAATATTGCAAATAGATTGCGGCTTCTATCAATGTAATTGTCTGCATAATTTCCAATCCCCCACATCTATTTTGTTTAATAAATATATATTTAAAAAAAATGTTTCCTTTATTATTTTCCCCTAACCCTACCACCCCTCCCCTAATTGGAGTAAACCAATGGACAACAACTACTTCCAGCTTATACATACTATATACATTTTACGGACACAGTATATTTTACATTAGTTATCTTTTGTTTGTTTTTAGTCACACCCTTTAGCTCCCCTCAACCCCTCCCATCTATCGCTTAAGACCATCCAGTTCTGATTTCTATTTGCCATATGATTTTAGTATTTGTTCTGCCTTGAGATCGAGATATTTGTTCTTCTGTGAGATGCTTTCTAGCTCTTTAACTTCATTAAATCTTGTTTTAATCACATTGGACATGCCATACATTCCAGTTCATCTAGGATGTTCGAACAGTACCATAACCTCGTGGAGTGTGTCTGTGTGTCTTTCAGACTTGGTGAGGACGTACACTCAGGACGGCGTGTGTCTGACTGAGTCGGGCCTGTGTCAGCTCCAGAGCCTGACGGCCCCTGCATCGCGGCGGAGGAAACCCAAGCCCAAGCTGAAGCTGAAGATCATCAACCAGAACAGTGTTGCAGTGCTGCAGGCCCCCCTGGACATGCTGTCAGAACACTCCCGGGATGAGGACATGGAGGACAACAGAGGTGCCTGTCTTTAAATGAGAATGTGTTCTTAACGGACTTCCCTGCTTAAATATAGGTTAACTGACTTAAATACAACAAGCTTGTTAGAAAACACTATGGGCCAGTTTCCTGGACACAGATTAAGACCCTCTGAAACAGCAATAGGCCTTCAAATTCCCATGACACTGACTGCAGACGGATAGGTGGTGGAGTAGAGTTGTGGAGCTAAATTCCCCAAATTGAAAAATCCACCATTTCAATTAGGCTAATCTCTTGAAGTTGACTGGAGTTGAAATGGGATTGACCCTGGGTGCTGTAGCTTGGGGGCAGGGTGGTCTGTTAGTCCATTCTGCAGACTGCGCTGCCCCTTGGCTATCTCCTTATCACCTATTTCTCTCTCTCACTCTCTCTCTCGGTCTCTCTCGCTCTGTCTCCCTCTCTCTCTCTCTCTCTCTCGTTCTGTCTTCTCTCTCTCTCTCTCGTTCTGTCTTTCTCTCTCTCTTTCTCGTTCTGTCTCTCTCTCGTTCTGTCTCTCTCTCTCTCTCTCTCTCGCGCGCTCTGTCTCTCGCTCTGTCTCTCTCTCTCGCGCTCTGTCTCTCTCTCGCGCTCTGTCTCTCTCTCGCGCTCTGTCTCTCTCTCGCGCTCTGTCTCTCTCTCGCGCTCTGTCTCTCTCTCGCGCGCTCTGTCTCTCTCTCGCGCGCTCTCTCTCTCGCGCGCTCTGTCTCTCTCGCGCGCTCTGTCTCTCTCGCGCGCTCTGTCTCTCTCGCGCGCTCTGTCTCTCTCTCGCACGCTCTGTCTCTCTCGCGCGCGCTCTGTCTCTCTCTCGCGCGCTCTGTCTCTCTCTCTCGCGCGCTCTGTCTCTCTCTCTCGCGCGCTCTGTCTCTCTCTCTCTCGCGCGCTCTGTCTCTCTCTCTCGCGGCGCTCTGTCTCTCTCTCTCGCGCGGCTCTTCTCTCTCTCTCTCGCGTTGTGCTCTGTCTTCTCTCTCTTCGCGCGCTCTGTCTCTCTCTCTCGCGCGCTCTGTTCTCTCTTCTCTCGCGCGCTCTGTCTCTCTCTCTCTCGCGCGCTCTGTCTCTCTCTCGCGCGCTCTGTCTTCTCTCTCTCGCGCGCCTCTGTCTCTCTCTCTCTCGCGCGCTCCGGCTCTCTCTCGAGGCGCTCTGTCTCTCTCTTCGCGCGCTCTGTCTCTCTCTCTCGCGCGCTCTGTCTCTCCTCTTCTGCGCGCGCTCTGTCTGCCTCTCTCTAGCCCGCTCGCTCTCTCTTCGCGTGCTATTCTTCTATCTCGCGGCTCTGTCTATGTCTCTCTCGCGCTAGCTCTGTCTGTCTCTCATCGCGCGCTCCTTTCGCGTCTGTCTCTCTTGCGGTCTTCTTCTCCCCTCGTCTCTTCCGCTTTCTCTCTTCCCCGCGCTCTGGTCGTTTTCTCTCTTCGCGCGCTCTGTTTTCTCTCTCGCGCGCTCTGGGTTTCCCCTCTCGCGCTCTGTCTCTTTCCCCCTTTTCCCCGCTCTGTCTCTTCTCTCTGCCCCCCCCCCT